AACCCCGTAAAATGAACTGGTGGGCTTCATCAGATAGGGTGCCACGGCCGGTAGGGGAATTATTCCGGCGAGCTTGGCGCTTAATGCAGCTTGCTTGTCTGGGCTTCTTTGCAGAAGGATTAATGAGCCCGTCGACTTCTCGGAACTCGTTTGTGGTTCGGTGTATCTTGAATTCAGCCCCAGTACTTCCACTGTCAATACTAGGACGTGATTGCGATGACATAGCCGAGACTGGTCTTTCATCAGACAGCCTGCGAGGGGTAGACGCTTCAGGCCGTGTCACCACCATGGCTTCATCGTCTTCGTCATCGTCTAGGGTTATATGCTCAGTCTTCCTGCGTTTTGCGGATGCAGGTCCACCAGACCATTGACCCTCTTCGCCTCGTGACAATCCATGCCGGCTTGGTGTGGTAGGTACCTTGCTTCGTTGGAACTCGGAGTAGGCTGTCTGACCCGGACCTGGCGACTGGCCTATTAACACGGGACGGGGACGGGTATGTTTCCCGTACGTTGTAGGCTTCCGAATTGCTGCGCGAGCTACGCCGTTGAGTGTGTCGACTGGCCTGTATCCCTTGTTCGCGCCCGGCTTCAAGATGTCAGTGTGGAAGCTTATAACCATAGATGCTTACAGACATACCTTGTTGTGCATGGTTCGTGGATCCGACATCCAGGACGACGGGTTGGGTATAGAGACTGCATCTGCTGGAACTCTGATCGGCTATTAGCATTCTCCCTCTTACTATTCGCAGTCATCGTGGTAATTTACTCGTAATCACCAACCAGGCGCCTCTCGTCCTCGCTTATAGCACGTTTTGATGGCCGTGAGAGAGATTTCCCAGAAATTTTCTCGTCGCGCTGGGGTTTTCTTGGGGGTTTTGTGGGCGAAGAGAGGTCTATGACAGTGGGGGTGGATCTTGAGGCGGGTGGTGAGTCCCTAGACAAGGGCAGGTCGAGAGTTGGCGAGTGGGCGGGGGCATCGTTCGCCTGTAGCAGCATGGTGTTAGCTGGGAGGAGCGGCAGTGTTTCGTCACATGTGCAAAGTGAAGTGGCAGAGCCCAAGTCAAGGCACTCGGAAGGCGATCAAAGAAAAGTGCGCGTACGTCTGTGGTTGAGTGGCCTCCGGCAACAGCTATTATGCCGTTGATGAGGTTAGACAACATTAGTGTAGCATTGCGGTGGCAAAGCGACTAGAGGTGGCATTCTTGAATGCGGACGCTAATCCTCAAAATGCGCGAAGAAAAGGCACAAAGCGCAAACGCGCGCCGTGGGGCATGTGGAGGTGAAGTTGCGCCAGCAGGTGAGTTCGCGATGACGTCCGTGCGCCTCGTCTGGACAATCCTGCTTGGACTTACAAAGACGGGTGGCTTCTGCAGTTCAACAAGATCCTTGTGGTAACATCTTTGCTTCGCGCTCGTTAGACTTCACATGCAAAATATAGAGCATCACGTATAGCATGGGATTGAATCGAGGCAACGAAGCGCACTAGTCATGTGCGCATAGGTGTACATAGTATTATCATTCATGGTCACAGGTCTATGTGACATGCATCTGTGTGGATGCTAGCTTCAAAGGAAGCTGACCAAAATCGCACAACACCAGCTGCGATGCGACGCTGTGTATAGTGGTGGGCATGGTCTGCAATGACCGGACCAGAAAAAGAGCTGATCCAACGGTTCATATGCCTTACATGCAAGTAGAGCCCGCGGTGAATTCCACGCGCTCGACTAGGGCATGGCATTTCTGTCAGTGGCCCCCGCTGGTGGTACATAGAATCCTTTGTGGGTCTGATAACGCAGGTGCGCCTGCGCTTGTGCCTGCGCTTGCGGAAACAACGCAACGAGCGTGTGACCCTGATTCCGAGCCTCAGAACAAGTCAATCGCTCGGTGGCCCGAAAACGATCTAAGAACCGGCCACTGGCTTCTCTTCGGTGGACGTCACCCTCCGCTTCTCCATGAGATTCTTTTCATGGCGGGCCTGGTCGATGGCTGAACGCTGGGCAATGCTGTCATCGTGACTTCGCCAAACAATGTTGGTGCCCTCTGGCAGCTTGAGGACCCGCCTAATCGTATCCCGAATCTTGACGTTCTTTACTCCGTCACTCTTTGTCCAGATGCTGAAGACATCCTCCCCGCTTCGGACACTCAGAACAAAGCCACAGAATTCATCGCCGGCCTCCAAGAATTGATCGCCAACCAGCGCAAGCAAGAGGTCTTCCCAGTAACGGTCCGCAACACCCTTTTTCAGGCGCATGATCCATTTGCCGCCTCGTTTGTTCTCGTCATCCTCCCATACCGGTCGTATGCCTTGTTTGAAAACATGATAGTCGGACACAGAGGGCAGACTCGAAGGTCGCTTGAGGTGTGAGAAGACTCTCCAAAACTCCTGGGCCGTGCTGAATCTGCAGAGCGGTACGATCGACTTTTCATAGTCGACGTTCTTAGCCGTGGGTGGACGGTACCATACCGCCCAGGTGTACTTGAGCGGCCACGGCGCGTTGAAGTCTGGCGGTGCGGACGGGCTCGCGGTGTTTTCTTGTATTGGTGCCGTGGCTATAGACTCTTTTCGTATGCTGTTGACCACCTTGCTCACGGGTTTGTCCTTCCTTTCAGAAGGGGTTGTAGGCGCTGTGGACGACATGGCGGCGGCTTTGAAGTCAAAGGCTGTTCCTGGCGTCTTGGGAGTCTTTGCCGCGGAGCCAAAGGAGGCGAATGCACCTGAGCCGAGGCCAAAGGCAGATGAGCCTCCAGTGGTGGGCGACGCAAGGCCGCCGGGTGTCAATGGGGGGATGGCGTTGAAAGGATTTCGGCCGCCGTGGGACGAGTCGCCCCCGAAGCGTTTGGTTGCGGAAACGGTGCGCTGGTGTGGTTCGGATTTATCGTTGTTTTCGGAATGCGACATGGAGAGGGAGAGCTTGCTGGTGCTGTTGGACGCGGGTCAGTAGGTGTGAATGCGAAGGTGCGGGGGTGCATGCGAGCATACTTGGAGCGCCGGGTCCAGAGGTTCTCCCTGTTGTCCATTGGCAGCAGTGGCAAGTGGGTAAATAATACAAAAGAAGAAGAGGAAGTAGAAGAAGAACAGCGGGTTATCCAAAAGCGGCTTGGGCGTGGTCGTGTGAAAGCAAGTTGTAAGTATGCGAGCTAGAGGGCCGAGGGCCAGTGTGCGAGTGAAGCGGGCGGGGTGTGGTTTGTGATAGTTTTGGTTGTGGTGCAGGCGAAGGCTGTGCGGGCGTATGGATGATGTGATGGTACAGAAGAATGTGGAGAAGACGGAGTGCGTGGGATCGTTGAGCGTAGTGGGATGTGTGGTATGCAATGCCGAATAGTGGAGCGTACTGAGAAAACGTTTGAGAGAGGTTGGCACACTTGCAGCTCAGGCGCGCGCCTTGCGCGGCAGGGATGGTGGCTTAGTCATGCGCCAAGACGAACAATCTCTTCTTTGCTGGCGCGCGACCCAGTCCTCTTCTCTTCTTCTTCTTCTTCTTCTTCTTCTTTAACACCGGCCTTTGACTCGTAACAACTGCCAGCTCGACACTCTCTACTCAGCTGGCAACTCGGATAACTGGCCCAGAACGAGCCATCCTCTTCTAAAACCATCATCACGAGGGCCGCTTCTCGCGGCTTCCATGATGCGGTGATGACCTGAAAGCAGGGACATTTTTTTATCACGCGCTTGACGCGTTGAGACGGCGCTGTTTGCAGCCGTCTCTGCTTGATTTTTTGTATGTGTGAATCGCTAATTTTGTCACGCCATGGCTGGGGATGAGGGTCCTTGTGGACCACTTCTGGTAGTCTGAGTCTCAGCCAGATGTACACTATCGCGCAAGCGATTTCTTGGTTGAATATGAAGCTCAAAGGCAAAGTCTGAAGCGATTGGCTGTATCTTGTGTGTGGTGGCTGGGGGTTGCTTTGAGAACAAGGAGTGCTAATTGGTGATTGCCCAGCAGTCCCCAATCGACGAAGCCGCAATGGTGCTCACACGAAGCGTATCGGCGATAGCTCCTGGTCGTGTGCAGCATTGCAACCCAAGCAGCATTACTTCCGTCTCATGAGACCCGAGTGGAGGGTGGGCAGTCAAGCCAAACCTTGTACACTTTGGCAATGCTGGTGTTGATGGTCGGTGGTAGATGACAGTAGCCTGGCGCTATGTGCCGCTGTAGCCATGGCCTCCCTGTCCATGCAGGGTGGACGGAAAGTGCAAAGAGAGTTTGTCGATGGATTGCGTACACAAGACAGCATTCCATACAGGAGCGCACCTGCATAGCTCTTCACGTGCGCCCCTCCCGTTTGCATGTGATTGTCAGGATGCGCGCTTGGCACAGTCTACGAGGGCGAGTGAGTCCACGGGCGCGAGTCTCACAAGCGTTGCAGTGTGCTGCCCAATGGGTGGAGTGGAGCAAGCCCTCGCTTGTCGTCATGGGTCCGCCCCAGTGGTGATGTTCGCCCTACCGTGTACATGTATAGTCTATGGGGTAGTTGGGCATGGCGCGGCCGCATCGTGCATCTGTCAAACAAAGACAGCCGCGTTAAGCCCGGAGGTGCATGTAGGTCGCTGCAATAGTCGAGTGCTGCGGGGAGTCTTCCCTTGTCTTTTCTAGCCCTGCCGCCCTTGCAGGCAGAGCAAACGGGCGAGCGGGGGGTGCAAAACAAAGGTCCCGCCGACGTCATCGTTCTGTGCTCTGTGTCTTCACCAGGACAACGCACCCCCACCACGCCCACTGCGCTTTCCTCGGCGGCCTCACTAACCCGACCCTATCGCTTCCTGCGCTGCCTGCTCCTCTGCTAGCCCATCTCTCCACCTCCCCATCTGCCCATCGGCCTCCTCTTCATACAAAGCTCCCCTGGCCCCCGTCAGTTTTGCTTTTCCACACCTAGTCTCCCGCTCCCATCACCCAGCCTCCCAACCACCCAACTTCACTCCCCGCACTACTGCTCTCTTGCACGTGCCGGTACCCTTCTTCTCTTGAAAAGAAGCAATCACACCACCATCCATCACCCACGCAATGACGGCACAATCGCCCCAGCTGCACTCGCCCACCTCGCATCCTGAGCGGCCAAAGGGTGCGCCCGTGAAAAATACCCCGCTTCGCCCGCACCCTTGATTAACAGGCCCAGGTATCCTCAAGAACTCCACTTCTTACCGCTCAAACTCACACACATCGCCTACTCGCGACCTGCCGCCTGCCACGAGCCCAATTTCCTCGGAGCGCCCGCAGCTTGGTCGTGAGCTGTCGGAGAAGGAAATCGTGCTCGAGAATACGCTACGCAATGCTGGCCCCCACCGCCGCTCGTCTTCAAACCCTCGTGGCCTGGCCTCGCGGCGCCAATCGGGCGCAGACCCCGCGGGCGACGCCAGCCCCCAGCTCAAGTGGGATGAGGCCAATCTCTACCTCAACGAGCAGAACCGTGACAGCACCATGAAGATTGACGAGCCAAAGACGCCCTATGCCAAGCAATACGATCCCGCCGAGGACGAAGAGGAAGTCGAGATGCTCAACGCCCAAGAGCTCAAGGTCGACGAGCTCGACAAGGCGAAGCGCAAGCCAAAGATTGACGATATCCCCGAGTTTGACCTAGGCCAGCCAGAGCTACAGGCCCGCCACTCACACACGCCCGATAGCGAGAAGCGAGTCATTGTCGGCGAGGGCATGGACACGGACGAGGGCTACCACGGCGAACTACTCCCCAATGCGACACAGGAGGAGAAGGAGAAGCACCGCAAGTTCGAGGAGCTGCGCAAAAAGCATTACGAGATGAAAAATGTCAAGGACCTGCTAGGGTAAGTCTTGTTGTTCACCGCTCCCAGCATGAGTCGCCGCTAACGGCCAGCTAGCCACCCAGAAGATGCAGATGAAGACGAAGAGATGCCCTCGCGCCCCAATGGTCCATGAAGGGCTGCTTACGTTGTATGATCTATATTTTGCGGCATTATGATGGAGTTAACGGGATTTACCTTGTCAAAGGACGGCGCTGGAGGGCCTTGGGGGATATTAATTTTCATAGCTGATCGGCTTTGCATGTGTGACGAATATGACGATTGGACTCTTTTGCTTCATAACTGCCGAATGTTGATTGTGCAAGATCGCGTCGTGTATATATGTTTGTACGTAATTACCATGATTCAATAACCCCAATACGTGTCGCGTCCGCCACCATTGCTATATACCAAGAGCGAAGAAAGGAAAAGAGACAAAACAACTCTTCAACCCCTCACTTGAACTCCTGATCAACAGCCTCGAAATTCTCCAAAAAGCTCTGGAAAGTAAACACGCCCAATCCGGGATCCAGGCTTCCCGTCGTCGCGCGGATACTGTGCATACTCAACTGCGGGATTCCGCAGTCAATAGCCCTGATTCCCGTTGCAGCACTGAGCATCGGTCCCACGGTTCCTCCACTGCGGCTATCATTCCTAATCTGGAACACCTGGAGCTTAGGATCCGTCTTGCGGATACCCACATCGCGATCGACACAGCGCTGCAGGATAGCCGTGGAGACGGCATCAGTCGTCATGTGCGCATTCGAGTCCGCCGACACAGCGGGGCCGACGTTCAAGCGGGGGGAGTGGTTCTCGAGGTAAGCGTTTAGGAAGTTGGGGTTCACAGCGTGAATGACGTCGCTGGAGACAAGGAATGAGTTTGCGTAGGTTCGGCTGAGGGCGCTGCTTGTTTTGCCGTTTGCAGCGAATTCCTCGGCTATGCGCTCCATAATGCTGGAGAGGAAGTTGCCGTGGGCACCCTGGCGGAGGAGGGACCCGACTTCTTCGTCGTCGAAGAGGGCGACCATGCGGATCTGCGATGAGCTTGAGAGGGTGGACGCAGAGTTGAGGAGTGCTTGTACGGCGGCCCAGGAACAGAGCTTGTCATCGATGCGGCCGGCGAAGATGAATTCTTTGTCTAAGCCGCCAGTGCGGGCGGGTTGGGTGTCGAAGAGTTCGAGTTCCCAGTTGACGATGCTGGAGTCTGTTGGTGGTTAGTCGTGTGGATTCAGAGATGGAGCATATGGCAACGTACAGTCAGTAACACCAAGCTCTCTGGAGATAGCCTTGACGAGCCTCTCAGGCTGAGTGGAAGCAAAAGCACCCTCTCCACCAAGAAGGCTGGCCTTGAATTCTGCCTCGTTCTCACTCGAAGGTCCCAAGTCACTGTTATCGAGACCAATAATCGGGACCATCTGAGTCTCCTTGTTGAACGGGCCGTTGGCAGCAGAGCCAAAATGCGGTGCCAAAGTCGGAATCTTCGCAATGGGCCAGTCCAGCTTGACAAGCTTGGTGACAATCTTGCCATTCTCCTTGACGAGCACCCTGCCGCCAATACCAAGATCGCGGTCCCACCAGGTATCACTGAGCGCACCAGCGTATGGCGCTACACCAAGCTGCACGTAGCCAGCCTTGGTGCGCAGCTTAGGGATGGGCTTGAGCTTTGCGGTCAAAGCATCAATGTGTCCTGCAACGATTGCTGCACCATTGCCGGACGCGTATTTGTCACCAACAGCAAAAGCAATCAACGAGGTGCCATTGCGCTCGACGTAGTATTTTCCTCCAGCCTTCAGCTCCCATGCATCCCGTTCAGACAGCTTCTTGTAGCCATCCTTCTCAAGGTCCTTTGCGACAGCATCGACGGCGTGGAAAATGGTAGGGTTGTTGGTCATGTAATCGGTGAAGGGCTTCGTGTAGCTTGCTGGGTCCTCTTTGGTACGCGAAGGAACCGGGATCCAGCAGTGGGAGGGTACAGTCTTAGAAGCCTCCATTTCCTTCTCAGGCTGCTCACTAGGTACTTCGGGAATCTTGGGGGGTACAGGTGGAGGGTTCTGCTGCCTTGCTGGGGGCGGGTAGTCGTCGTCGTAGGCACGAATCAAGTCGGGGTATGATGCTGCTACACTATGACGGTGGCTCAGATCAGAGTTACCTTCTCGGGTTCTCCAAACTCTTGCGGCACTTCCCCTGTCTGGGCGTTGCATGTATGGAAGAGACGCGGTGGTATGCGCGCGTGGAAGTATTACCGAGGACGAGGGTCGCAACGGGCGAGGCGGTGACGGGTCAGAGTACAGATCAGCATTCGAAGTTGCTTTGCGTAGAGCAGGGGGATTCCTCGTCATGTTTGTAGTTTCGCGCATGTAGTTGAAGCTATCTGTGAGGTGGAGGAAGCAAGGAAGATGATGGTTGCAGTCGAGGCTGGAGGTGTTGCTACGGTACCTCTCAAGCTATTACGCCACATGTGAGGCGGAGCACCCGGATGCGGAAGGCCTCCGAGCGCATCGCCGCAGCCGCTAACTTGGATCCACTCGTAACGGAACAACCGCTATAGCGGAACACTAATACTACTGTCAGATTTAATAGGTGTTCAATAATGGTGGAGATGATTTATTGATTGTTCGTCCTCAAGCCGCTATCTGAGGGGCTTGGTGGTCTAATTACGTCGGGCTCAGGCGCCTTTCTTGGCGCGTCCTGATTGGCTAATTATAGGATCCGGGTACTCTGCCTCGTACCCAGATTATGCCTGTGACCATCATCCGAACTATCTCATATCTGACAACTACATACTTCCTCTCTCTCTATCATATCCTCCTATTGTTTTAGAAAATGCTCTAGATATCTAGGATAGTAGTATACAATAGAATAGTAGAGCTATTATGACCCTTCGTGCACACTACTCATACTTTAGTGTATACGACTCAACACGATCAGCATTGCCCCCAGTCTCGCCCGACAGGAAACAACCGCTAGAACTGTTCTACGAAACAACAGAGTATCTTCATATAAGTATTATGTTCTCATATGTACCTTTGCCATCAAACGGCCGCTTGCGTTGTTCCCATTCCAGATCAGAAACAAATACCCTATACATGTACCGGTATCCCCTGCCATTATGTCGAAGACCTAGGACCCAACGGCACTCGGGGATGAGATACAACTTATCATCGTGCCGACAAGAAGGTAGCGAATCTTCAAGAATGTGCCCCACGATACTTGATCCGACAATAAGATTGCGGACATGCTCGAAGAAGCTGCTCAGTTTCGCGATTGAAGAGGAACTTGGAAAGTTAAGGTCTGCTTGTTGAGCTGAAACTCTGCCGCCGCGTCGCTGATTTTTTCTTCTCCTTGATTTATTTTCGCATTGGAGAAACTCTTCTAATGTCGCGCTATGCTCGGATGAAGATGGATCTTCCTTTGTATCGGCATCCCAAAAGTTGAGACGAAGATAATCGCGGAATCTTCGTACGTGCGTTTTCGCATCAGCATGAGGTATATCCTTAGATTTTAGATTTGCCAGAACTTCCTGTTCAAGCTCAAGAATAGCTTTGCGCAGCACATCTGTATCCGTTTTTTCTTTCATTGGAGGAACTTCCAGCGTCGTGATGACTCGTCCCGACACCAGCGCATTGTGTATCCGTATTTCGGTACATCTTACGCCGATGTCAAATAAACCCTTCGGCGCTCCCCACTTTTTTTCGTACTCTGCAGTACATCCATCACAAATCTTAACTAAGGATCCGTGATATATTTTACCCATTGAAGTACCTTGGGCAAGGATATCATACTTGCTTTCTGGAGCTCCACGATTTTTATCCTCTCCAATCCATGTTTTGGATTCCCATAATGGAACCCAGGAAGGTATCCCTTCGATATTACTAGGTCCGCTTTCAAGGATTCGGAGAGGGTATGACTGAGGTCGAGGATCGAAAAGTATCCAAATAGCGACTCGGTGAAAAAATCCAAGAACTGTATATTCCTCCTGGAATCTCGTCACGAGAAAGAAGATATTGCTATGGCAACCCATCATACGAAGAAAACCAAAGACTCCATTAACCCTATCTTTAGGTTTGGTCACTTCAAAATTTCCACTCATACAGCTCAGGTACGTAAGGAGACGGCTCGCAAGAGATGTTTCGGATGGTTCATGTCCTTCTTGAAACATGCCGTGAACAATGAGGGGTATGTGGGTTCGAGAAGGTATCAATGGTGTACCTGAAAACATGAAATGGTCCGCCGATTCGAGAAACTTACGATATCCGATTTTGAAATTGTCGCATTGCATGATTGGTTCCCTTTCTGGAAGCGTGGCTTCCTGGATGACCCAAACGCGTCGCCACCAGGGTTGCATAGCTATGATTCGCATTCCGAGAGCTTGTATTTCATCTAGAAAACAGTCGTTTCTTATTTCCTGACCGAGCAGGCGGTCGTCATCCATGACGTATTTCATGGCTTCGAGCAGTGCCCTCCTGATAATCAGTCTGCTTTCACTACCCAAGACCTCATCTGTATTTTCTTCTGGGGATAAGAGAGAGTAGGATCCTTTAGGTATCGGAACTCGTCTTGATCGATAATTCGCAAGTTCCTCTTGTATATTTGGCGTTGACTTGCATACATCAGTGACAGAGCCTAGCCAAATGCGTACCTCCGCGGCCATTTTATACACAAAGCCCATTTTTCTCACTTGTGAAAAACGTTCTTCCTCATCTGACTGGTTGATACAAATGGCGTCGACCCAGAGTATGCGCTTCGAATCACGGTCTCGTAGATATCGTAATGCTGTATATAAGTTCGTTGTTATTTGGAATGATTTATAGAAATCCGCCCCTGGGGAGGGAACGGGTGGTCGTGTACTAGCAGTTTCACTCGTGAGGAGTTTTTGGTAACCAAGTCGGATAGGTTCTGTCTTTCTTGGGTCGCCCCACACGTATGACAATGCAATGTACTCTGCTTGAGGTGCAATATTCTCTGTTTGAGGTGGGTTTTCGGGTATACTGGCATGGTAAATCGTACAACGTATACAATCGTTGAATCCACCTGGATGCAGGCGTATGAGTTGAATTTTAAACTCCTCTAAGGAAATTGTGGAAATCGGTTGGTATACAAAAGTATTTCGTGAGCTGATCATTTTCTTGATCGAACGGTTGAAGAAATTGGTGGAACAGTTTGGAGAGGATGTGGAATGCAACAAGGCTGAGTTAATTTTGATTACGAAAACCGGTGAAGCAAGGTGGCGAACCGTACCACTCGACCAACCATATTCATACATCTGCACTATTTGTTTTATTAATTAAGCTTGGCTCTCAGAGGGCGTAGCCATTGCAAGAGCATCTTCGTGGCGCTACAGCAACCAACGTCTAATATACAGTAGACAATGACAGTCTGCTGATCATTCAATGCGCCAATCATCCGACAGTACATTTTGTATAGACCAGGTGTAGGGTACTTTCAAGTAGCGATACCCGGAGATCTGCTAGTATGGGGAGAAGATATCAGCATATAGGCTAGGTTTTGTTAATCAAGTGATCTGAAGCAGCAAGCCCTGCTGTCATAAAAGGTGGGGTACATAGGGTGGGGTGGTGCCCGAAGCTTCTATGATTAAGACGAAATATTTGACGCACTCTAAATCGCTGCAATTTAATGTGCACGGCTTTGAATGGAGAATTGAGTTTGACGAAATGTTAAAAGATCAATTAGAATCCGTACAAATGTGTGACCTAGGTATAATATTCTTAAAAACATTTATAGTTTGGTACGCAGGATGTTCGACACAGACGGATGGGCGTCCGTTTGAAGTCGACGTATCGCCAGCACTTTTTCAAGCAGAGGTATTTCGGCCTTTAGCAAGGGACATGAACTGTGTGAATTGATACAGATGCAGAGTCTACTCTTACCGCAAGACGTGTTCACTACGAAAAGCATTAGCTCTAAACCTTAAAAGCATAAAATACTCAGCCTACCTGCTCCACTTGAATCATAAAGCCAGCGTCGCAATAGCTTGCGGAATAGGGAGCTGCCATTTTTTAATCAGATGACGCTAGGAGCCTTCAGCGCGTGGATATCTGCTAACGAGGTACTCGCTCCGGGGTTAGGCCGCTATATGTGCTAAGACACTATGCTGGGCTACATAACTAACATACGAGGACTTTCCTACACGATTTAGGTGTAGCTGCTGTGTAATGCAGCTAGTTTACAGTTAGGCCGTTTTTATCAGGCCCAAATAGGGTGTTTGCGGAATACCGGCTGTACAACTAGCGCTTTTGGCAAGGTCTTGTTGATGCTCTTGGTAGCAATGAATCCCTCTTCCAAAAGACTGACTAGATTCGTTTACAGCTTCTTTCCTGCAATGTGCATCGAAATTGTGTCTGAATAGAGAGCCGCAATCGTCAACCATTGCGCGACACGAATCAACATCAAGTCAAAGCACAAAAAGCAGGTCAAGAAACGAAAGAGCCACTTCCATATAGTCACCCTTTGTCTAGATTGATGATATTCATTCACTAGGATCGTGTGCAGTCATACTTCATCGGTATCGTTTCGTATCATTATCCTCGTCATGTAATCTCCTGTGTCATCTGTAAAGTCTCCGGTCTATTCGAGCACTGAGACTTTATCACAACTTGATATTTTCCCACTCCTCTCCTTGCGGAAACCCCAAATGAAACCTCCCGCACTTTGCAAAATCTAATAAAGCCTGATCTGCCATCTGGAAATCCGTCACCCTTCCACCAACCTCCTCGTTCGTGTCCAGGAAATGTGCATGGACACGCGGCCCACTGATCGCCTTCATCCATTCTGGTACGATGAAGCCGAAGATGACACCGTCAATTCCATTGCGACCAGATCCATGTTCAAACTCTATGGACTCGAAGCGGCCGAATATTCTGAACGGCATGAGCGTATTGACACCTTTTGTAGGTCCCAATTCATTGGAAGAAGTGAGTTCCTCGAGGCCGTCTATGTTTATGGAAGGTATCTTGATACGGAAGTTGGGCTCATAAACAGTTACTAGAGCGAGGGGAAGGCGTGCGTTTGCAGGTGCTGGCTTGGCTTTCCCGTCTTTGGTGATTGCAAAGGCTTGACCGGATTTCAGCATCATGAGGTTGCCATCTTCGTAGACGCCAATGCCGTCTGAGCCGTGTGAGGTGAGGTCTGATGTTCGTGGTTGGCCTTGGTTGAAGCCGGCCTTGAGGGCGGCGACTGTAGAGAATTGGAAGATATCGTTTGGTATGGATCCGACCATCTTAAAGAAATTTGATGGTATTTATGGGGATAGGGAGTTTGTCAGATTTTTCCACATGGCACTTATGGTGTGATGGCCTGATGGTATTACATAGTAGAGATGAAGGTTGATCAAGGGTCCGGGGTTAGCGGAGAGCCGATCACCGACTCGGCTATCGTAGAAGTGCATGAGCAGCATTACTGGGGCATTTGTTCGCACTGTTTCTTTGATCGAACGAATCTCAAAGCTCGCACATAGTCGCAACTCTTTCTTTTGTAGTGGCAATTTAGCCAAGGTTTAGCATGGTCTGCTGGAAGAAACTTGCTTTTAGAATATCCAACCTCCCATTACTCGACATATGCCTTCGATATTCGATCATAAACCAATTCTCGCAGTCTCTCAGTTAGGTTCCTGGTCGTAATACTGGAAAGGAGCGTTGTTTTCTCGCGGTCGAAAATTGCTCTTGTTCCAAGCACAAGTGTATTAATAAAAAACTTGAAAAATGATATCTGTGCAGCGAGAAAAGATCAAAAAGGTTCCCTAAATTCTATGCTTCAATGCAAAGAGTAGTTTGCCAAGTATTGTATGAGTGAGTATGCTAAACGAGGATATTTTGCATGGTATGCGAAGACCAGGAGTCACCATTCAATTTGTTTTCTTAGCCAACTTGAAAAAGACGAAATATATCAAGATGGCTAAGGTGAAGACATTTCAAGAGTACTCGTCAATTCGAATAAGGACTATGCACGGAAATTACTGGCAACTTGCAGTTGAGAAACAAGGTGGACAAAAAGAGTGACGGAGAGTTGAGCCAATAACGTGCGGGATCAGTAAGCTGGGCAGATCAGTAAGCTGGGCACCCCACCAAGCTTGACGCGACTCTCTGTGCAATT